GGTTCCGCGGCGCGGCGAGGGCCCGTTCTTGGCGGGACTGCCAGCCAGCGCCCCCCAAGCGGAGGTCTGGGCCTGCCGGGTTGAGCGGGTGCTGTAATTCAACGCCCCGGTTGCCTTTGCTGCTTGCCTAACCCGAGTTAGCTACCCCTCTGTGCAGCACATCCAGCGGCACCACAAGGAAAAGTGGGACACATCCCATTATATAAAAAAAATATATATACTGAAAATGCATTAAACCACTGTTTTGACCACCTAGTCTTATCTTTAACAATCCTTCTTATTTAGTATAATCATCCTTTTGAAGATGACTTTCTTGTTTCCATGGAAACTCTCACTTACAATACACCTGATGGTAAGAACTTTGTGAAGTTTCAGTATTTCCATGCTGTGTGTTTAGACTTGCTGAAAGCATGCCACTGTTGATGTTTATATGGTGTCTACTTTGAACCAATGCTAACTTTAGTGTGCTCAGGTTTCAGATGTCAACTTTGACACGTGCATATAAATATCTGGAAAATGTGTTTTGATAAGTTTCTAGTTTGTCAAATGTCAGGATGGAATGGGTAGACAGTCCCTTCTTAAATATTACACTGAACATGCATGTGGCTAGTATAAATCTATACCATGTTCTGTCATGTCATAAATGTATGTGGAGAGCTTACTGCAAAACAGCTGTTATTCTAGTTTGCTCTGAGTTTTAATGGGAATTGTGACTTGGTAGCTGGGTGCTGTTTCTGGGAGATGAAGTGTTCAGCAAGTTTTTATCCTCACTGTAGTGAGGATTATGATAAACAAATTACCAGTTCTTTAAAGAAAGAACATATTGGGCCTACACGCTAAGTAGTACTTTACTGTCAAGTACCGTATAAACATTACACTAAATATTGTTTACATTCTAAGGGCTTTTTCAGACTGGTGAGTTGCATTTTATAGTTATTGCATATGTTATGTGGTGAGTATGTATTCACATAGAAATAAACATATATAGTATTCTAATGCTCAGTCTTAGATTTGTTGAGGCTTGGTTTTGCGTTAGGTTTAGTAACTTCTGCTCACCCATTCTATGAATATAGATCTTGGCCCTTAACGGAAACCCCCTGAGGTCTCAACTAATGTCAAATGCCGCGTATTAAATAAATCTTATTAATTTACTTAAGTAAATTAAACACCTCCCTCCCTCTCCACCCAGGGTTGCAAGGCTTTAGGTTTTAGCTCAATGCTGTTAAGTAGACGATTAAATGCTAACATTTGATTTTTCAGATTTCTCAATTTTAACTTAAATTTATACCGTTCCTCTGTTTTCCTGTAAATATTTGTTTCAACAATTATTTGGGTGGTTGTTTAGATTCACTAACGCTTCGTTGTTAGGTATGTTTTTCCTAAATGCTATGTTACTTATTATAGACTAATAGCTTTATACAGAAAGCTATATTTGCATTAACACTTCTTGTTGTTTCTAGGACCAAAACAATGGGGGGAAGAGCCAGTCAAAAGCCTTAAAAAATCGAGGAAGAAAAAACCTAAGGTATCTCATAATACAAATCTACTATGCAGTTAAAATATACAAAAAGAAAAAGAAACATTTTTACATTTTGTGTGTGTATATATAGGAATATATTCTAATCTTCTCATCTCACATAATATTTGCAGGAGATATTAGTACTGTATTATTATATTATTGGTATTATTAGTACTGTATAACAATACTGAAATATAGAAGCATAGAATACAAGTCTTTTGCACAAGTCTTGATACACAGTGTTTATATCAGGCTAAAGCTGGTTAGTGTTTTGGGCCTGCTGTCTGTATGTTCTCCTCTGAAGGTAAACAAGCAGTTGCTTCTTTTCGAAGTGAATCACACAGTGCAAACTGCAAAAGACTACATGGCTTCTAGTAAGTGCGTGCTATGCAATAATACATCATGTTCATTTTGCTGTTTCCATATGTGATCCTTTTGACACACACAGCATTAGTCAACATGGAGTTATTTGTATATATCTTTCTTTTGTTTTAAATACGGCATGCACACATTGCTTACCTTGAAATATAGAAGCATAGAATAAGTTATTAAAGCTGAAGTAGCACCACACATTTTTCTTTCTTAAATTCCTCCCTGTGAAGGAAACAGTGAACTTGCTAAAGAGCACAGGTGCTATTCTGAACCGCACAGAATGAGAGGATGGAGAGCAGGAGTGGATTTAGTGGGGAGAGTAAAGGAGCTGTATCTTCCTTTCCCCTCAGCCCTGGTAATACCTTGGGTAGCGTGCACTAAGGGTCCCAACAGGAAATAGCTCCAGAGATTTATAATCAAAATCCATTTAGAACTATAAAATAATTTTTTGTATGTGTGCTAGCCTGTCAATTGTGCCAAGGTAGCTATAACTTATGTGCTTTTAGTGATTTTTAGTGGCAGGAACATGGCAAGATGTAAATCGAAGTGAATCGTCAGGTAAGCTTTACCATGTATTTGCTGCTTTACAGGTCAGGCTGTGAGAAAGCTGAAGATTGAATGGTTATGTAGGAAGTGCCTCATTGTAAAATATGGCAAAGTAAACGAAGTCATTCAAGATAACATTACGACTTTGAGATTCTTCTCACTTTTTCTTTTTTTAATTGCAGCGTTCTTTCAGAAGTCGAGAGCATGCAGGTAAAGTGTTTTTGGGGAGAAGAAAAAAAAAAAGTGCTATCAAAGATCTCATCCAAAAGGATCTTGGCTGAATAGATTATGTCCTGTTTTTAAAGTAGACTCTTCCAGATAATCACAATTAATGCTTATCTTCTTAAGGATTCTAAAATGTAATTGCAAGTAATTAAAATGAATAAATGGATATAATTATTGTTGCTATCAGCATAAGTTGATTAAAATAATCTCTTCTTATCAGTTACACAGACAGCTTTTTGTTATTATGCTTTTAACATTTTTCAATTCATTTAACATCTGACAAATTCCAACCCTGTTTATATTGTTGTATGTGTGGAAGGATTTCGAATTTTCTAGCTTTAGAAAAAAATACCTGAAGAAGTGGACAGATTTGAAAATGTGCGTTTGAAAAGTGTGCATATGGGAAAATCAATGAGGTAGAAAAGCTAGCTCTCTACAATTTAGTGATCATTGTGTATACCATTGTGTGTACTGAATGAATGAGACTAACTGCAGTAAAAGTAGCATACAGTTACTTCATTAGAGTATTGTTGTGTAAGTCATATTAAGACTGCACATCCAAGTTTAACTCTGATACTTCTTAACCTTCAGATGTCACAGGATTGAGTAGTAGTAAAATCACTGAGCAAGACCTGCGGTGAAACTTAGAAAGAAAGTTTCTAGCAATTTTTTAAGTATTTGAAGTCTTAGGCAAGTCATTTTTTTGCCATCATTAATCTTTGGATTTCAACCTAAGGTCTGACTGGCTTGGAAGTACCTGTTGAAGGGATTTGTTTCATGGGATTTCTTTAATGCTGTAAGACTTGGTATAATTATTTCTTTAATCTATTGTTATGCATTATAGATAAGGAAATTAGGAGAAAACTTCCTAAGTTAGGTCTCTGCTTAAATTGAATGAAAAGTGGCAGTGGGGGGGAGCAGAGGGAAGGTCTAATTATGTTCTAAGCTATCTGGAAAAGAAATATTTAACTTCAGTATTGAAGAAGAAGGAATAGCATGATTGTTAACAGATAAAAAGAGGAAAAAATCCACAACACTTGCAATTTTTTCATTTACACATGCATGGTTACATGTACTGTAAAAGACAGAATCTCCTGCGTTGCGCTCATTTCCTGCAAATCATTTCTTGCAGGGACATTTTTTCATTTGAAGCAAAATAGTAGAATACATGTTCCAACTGGTCAGTAGTGATTTGATTGTGGTTGGTGCATTATGTTGCTCTCAGAGAAGAGGCAGGGAGAAGAACATACCTACTTCTGCCTATGAATTCTTAAAGTAAATAGGGAGATTTGACCTAATCTTGTTCTTTTCTCTTAGATTATCTTGATATATGTGTTGCCAATTAGGTCATTCAGACTTATGTGCTATTCATCATTGACATTGAAAGTAACTTTACAAGACTCAGATATTTATGTAATGAACATATATACTCTTTGCATGTAACTGATTTTGGTTAGTCTGTTCACAATTCTGATTTTTTTTGACTATTTGTTTGAACACTGTTTGCAGGTTTGCTTTGGGTAAATTGTCTGATTATCCCTATTAAGTTTGAGTGAGTGAAATGACAATTCTTTCAATATAGTTTTTACTATGGAAGTACTGAGCACAGGAGAACCTAGGATGTTAAGTTTCAAACTCCACAAAGAATAAACTTTGTCATATCTCCACTCAAAATTCTTGCTTTTATTGACCAGAAAGGTTTTTAAAGGTCTCTGGTGTTTCATAGATCTTACTCTGTAGGGATGGAGATAAGAATTGGAATGGGAATTTTTTTTTAAGTTGTATTCAGCTTCTAACAATGTACTGCTAATACTTTCTAAGTGAAGCATTAATGTAGTTTATATCTGCAAAATGACTAAATCAATTCCTGTCTCAAGAAGTTCCCAAGCCGAAACCTGATTCTGCTGACTATGTAATATTCATGATTAACATTAGATGTGGGAGCTGCATCATAGCCCAGTGTCCTACTCTTCCTCTTATGTAGGTGTATGTATCTTCTAATATCTGCTGTGTGTCTGCGGGTGAGGATGGTGCGCCTGACATTCTTGTAAGTTAGCTAGGAAAATAAATGTAGACGGATGTGCAAATAGTTGGCCTGCTGTGCTTAGCATCGTTATCAGTGGCCTGTGCTCAAACTGAGGGGATACATGAGATTTTTTTTAGGACATGTCCTGAGCACATTATCGGTTTGTACTTCCAATAAATAATGAAAGGAATATCCTTGATTAACTTGCACATAATACCAAATAGGAAGGGCCATTCTGAAAGGGATCCTGATGATAAATTGGAGGATTGGAGAAAAAGGAGAAAAAAAAAAGACAGAACTTTCTGTAATTTTGTGGAGGTAAGTTCAAAGTAATAGATTTGTGTAGGAATGATCCACAGCAGGAAGAAGGTAAAGGCTAGTACAGCAAGACTGTTGTGAAAATAGCACACTCTATACCAGAAGATTAGGCAGGGTGCATAGTTTACGAAGCAGCAGAATGATTTCTCTGTGCTGTTTAGCAGTGGTAATGCCCCTGGTGAAATACTTGGTGCTGTGGATGGTGTCTTAGCTTCCTGGGGTAAGTCAGAAGAAAAAATGACTAGACACACAGGTGATGTTACCTAAATGACAGAATAAAGAAGAGAGAAGAGGAAGCCAGCGGGGGTGGGAGGGGGGAAGAATATGGCCCTTAGGTTAGATATATAGAAAAAACTTTCCAGATGTAAGCCTAAGGAAGCCCTGAAATATATTTATTAAAGAGGCTACAGAGTTGTTCTTAAAAATAGATTATCCTTCTAGGGATAAGTTAGGTATAATTATTACAGATGAAAGAATAAGCAATATCTTTAGGTCACTTTCCATATACTCTCCATCAGCCTTCAAGTCCTTAGCTGTATGCTTGGCATCATTCAATTATTGGAGGCATTTACAGGAGGAAGTAGTATCTACATGCCTGAGTTGGATATGATCAAAGTTTTCTCACCATTTAACAAAAGGAAAAAATTCTGACTGATATTTCACATCAATATATCTGGAGACAAAGATACCGAAAAGCAGGAACAACCAATTCTGCCTTTAGGCAGAAACTTGTTTACTGACAGTCCAGACTAGATTAAGCATATCTGGTGAAACACATATTTATTTAAGTCTAACTGTATCAAAAGCACTCAGTCATAACAAGTGCCACTACACTGTCAGTACCAGTAGAGTGTGTTTGAAGATATAAATCCTCCTTTTAGGGAAAGCTCAAACTTGTGTAACTTAAAGACTATTAACAATAGATTTAAGCAATAGTTTTTATATGTACAGTGGAACCATACGCATTGTATGCAGACTCGTGGTGTTATATTAGCTTTTTTTAGATCCTTTTCAGTCTAACCAAGAGACACTTTAGCACTGTGACTTTTCAGACAGTAACTTCAATAGCAATGCTATCTAGTTTGGAGTTTAATTGCAAAATACAAGCTTTTAGAAGTTTTTTTTGAAGACAGATGCTTCTCTAATTTCTTTTTTATATAAATTTAGTCGGTCAACTTGAGTGCCTCTAGTGTTGCAATCAATAAGGGATAACAAGATACAAACTGAAATGTTAAAAGGAGACATCTAGTTACTAATTTTTAGGTGAATATGGAATTTAGATGGCTTTTTGCACACTAGACTTCTAATGAAATACATGGCAAAAATCAAGGTTTTGGATGAAGCTCTTGTAAAAGAAGGCAGGACTTTTATTTTGACTCGAATGTTCAACTTTCTATTCTTCACGACATTGCTATGTATATGCAATTTTTTTCATGTTGGCTATTTTGTTTCCAGAATAAATAAGAATATATATATATATATATAGACACATACACACGTAGTTGAAGAATTTATGTGTTCAAGTAAAATATTAATCTGCAGCCTATCAAATTCTAAAATAAGTATTTCTTTCTTCCCAAGCATGCCAAGAAATATCAGAAGGACAGAGCAGTGGTTTTGAAGATGACTGCTCAGAAGTGCATGAGGTAGGGAGCACTTTTATAAGTCTCTTTAGAGAAAATAGACTTATGTAGTCATAACCTAATAGCTAAGAAATTAAAGAAAATTAAATTAAGAAATTAAAATCAGGTGCTTCCATACCATATCTCCTTATCCATACAAATAAGTTTGGGTAGTTGTCAGAGTTCTAGAAAACAGACAAAAATGTATTTGAAATATTATATATAGTATTGCTTAAAAGTGGCTGCTAAGAAGTTTTCCCAATACTTTAAAGCAGAAAAAGGAAATCTCTGGTTCATACTGATAAAGATCTGGTGATTAAAACTCATCTGTCAACTGTTTTCACAATTACACTTTTGTTGTGTAATACCTGCCTTTTCTTGAGGGCTTATTTGTCCAAATATAGAAGGGCTGGGCAAAAAAAAAAATCATCATCTTCACATCCAGATAATTGGATGTGAATGAAGACTACATATGTAAAGGTAAGGATGATGTGATTTAGGCACATGTCTGTGGTTTGACACTCTTTTGCTCCCCAAAACTTGATGAACTTAACGAGCAAAGATTGGACAAATTAGTATAGCATATGCTATAATGTATTAAAATGGCTTTCCTATGTTTTAAGGTATCTTATGAGAATACTCCTGTGGATACATCTGATATAGGTGGGTTTTTTGTTTCACTTTTCATTTGCTTTGGGAAAGACTGCAAATAACTGGTTTCCATCATGCTGTAATACTAAAGACATTTCAGAAGTACCTGTAGCTTCGCTTTTGTTAAGTTTCTGTGGAGGGAAGGGGGCAGCTCCCCTCTGTACCCTGCCATGGCATAAATGGGGGTATAATTCAGACTCTTAGAGTATAGTGTTATGATTACCACTTCTCCTTTTCTTGTGAATGTTCTTGAGAAAGACTAGAGAAAATGGCTAACGTAATGGTTGAACAATTAGCCTTGGGTTTGTTAACCCTCCTCCTGTTGGGGAGGAGGGGAAAAAATGCTATTTTTAACTGCTTTACCTAAAACTTTAGCACGTTTATTCACTCTTCAGTGTTCATGTTCGATGTGTCATGCCTCTCAGTGAAGGCACCTTTCAGGTATTATATGGTATTTTTGTTGTGAAAGTAAGTAAAGACCATCAGTTGCAGGTACAAATAAAGTAAAACAGCTCTAAACAATTATTGTAATTATTGGTCTGCCCTTAAAAGGGAAAATGTTTAGATCCACTTTTGATTTCTCAGGCAGGAGCTTGTCAAAAGTACAGTAACACCTGGAAAATTCCTTGGATCCATTACAATAGGAACATAGAAAAATCAATTTCTTTGGAGAGAAAGGTGGAAATTCATATCTTAATTACAAATTAGCCAAGTGTATTTTAATTTAGAAGATCACATCGAAGTCAAAATTTTGCATTGACGAAAAGTCCCTTACTAACTTGATCATCACTTAAGAATGACCTGCCTTTTTAGTAATGATGTTTTGCATGCAGCTACAGAGAAATAATTTCATGCATTACAGGATAGATTTTTCCAAAGAGGAAAATGTGAATCTTCATTTTTCTTTCTTCCAACTTCTGCAACTGAGGAACAAAGATTTTACATAACCTTCCTTTTAGCCCTTAAAAGCACTTTAAGCTGTGCTGGTGAAGATACTTCTTGTTATCTATTTTTGTTTGTTGTCTAGAGTTGTTAACTTTACAACTTAGACCCCCGTTTGTTTAGTGATCTAATGTGGTCATCTTACTGATCATTTTAGTGAGTATTCTGCCAGGTTTCTGCCTGCTGCTACTGTAGGGAA